TGCGGGATTTTTGATTCTGAATTCATATGTATTATTTTTCATATTAGCAACTGTAATGCACGAAAAATTATTGCTTTAACTGTATTTACATACGGATACAAGAAGAAACCATAATATAAATGTTAAAAAATGAATCTAATAAAATTATACAAAGTTTTGTAAAGGGTACCTTTTCGTATTCAATGTACTCGTACGTTGTTACTTTTTATTATTACATTCAAAAAGTATTTGACTGCAAATAGCAACCGCCAACGGTAGTCGTCGAATTGCTAGAAGCGTCAAGTTTTATGATTATGATATTTATGGTTAAATGGAGTCAAAATATTTGCATATTTGTTAACGGAAATCATTCAGTATCAAAATTAGTTTCTTTTTTTTTTTCTGCACATATTTTTTAAAAACAAAATGCCTGTCGGTCTTTGCAAAGCCGGTATTCTCTATGTAAGTGGCTTTTCAATCATTTTTCAATAGAAGGGAAAGACTAACTGGTGATACACTTGCTCCTTTATGACTTGGCAATTTGTTTAACATTATAACGCTATTAGCATTTTCCTCAAGTGTTGTGTTGGATGTGTGTGTGTGATTGTTGTAAATTTTTCAACACAATAACAACAACATGGCGAACAAACCCAAAAAAAAGAAGAAGGCGTTGAACAAGGTGTCTTAAGGGGGGTATCATTAAAATAGCTGTATTATGGCAATTGTGGGAAAACATTTGTTGTTGGGTATGGGTGACCTTGTTTGTTTGTTTTTCCAGGATATTAAATAACCCGAGGCCTTATTGTTTATTGTATGAGTGTAAATGCTTTTTAAACGGGAGCTCAATTTGTAACGGTCGACACACAAAAACAATAATAAAACTGTATAACAACCATCAGTAAAATAATCACGTCAGTTTTTTTTAGTAAGAACATGAGAAATGTGGTCGCTAGTCGGTTGGCTGGTTGGTTGGTCGTTCTATTTGTTTGTTAAAAGTTTTTTACATTTTACCAAATTGGATTGTTTGGTTGGGTTGCGTTGATTGTTGTTTTGGGTCCTGCTATTTGTTGTGTTGTATGTTGGTATTAAAAGATGTGATACATATGAATTGCTGCAACATCAGTATCATCATAATTCATAACATTGTTCTCTGATTCCCATTGTTTGTTTTTAAGCTATTTAACATGATAAAGGGAAAGATTATTTAAATCAATTATTCTACTTCTCTAATGGTTAGAAAATGTACCCAGCGTATAAATTCTGAGATTTAAATACTGAAATTAAATTAAAAGTTTTAAAGTAAAAATCTACCACAACATCCTGGGTAATCTTAATTTATAATATAATTATAAACTTACTCAATTTCGACTCGAATTTCTCCATAAATGATCTAGTTTCAAAGTTACCAATTGTTATCCCCATTATCTCAATGTCTTAACACTGAGATAATGGGGATAACACCTCGTCTCGGTGTTATTGCAATCCCGGGGAAAAGAGATGCTACGAGTATCTCTAGTCTACCGGGACTATAAACTGATGATGATCAAATGTATCCTCAGCCTTTCTTTGGAATGACTCGGCATGGGTTCGAACCACATGTGGTGCAACGGGAACTGGTAGAGTTTCGAACTTTGTCTTGTCCTGGTTATTGGAGAGGTTCCATCGAGGTGTACGTGGTAGCTGTGTTTTAAACCCAAATTCGCGGTAAGAGAATGTCGGTTTAGAGACTAATGCACGGTAAAGACTAAGGTTCTATAGTTGAAACGAAAAGTCGACTTTTTTCGGGGTTTTCCGACTATTTTAGAGTTTTTGACTTTTTTTCCACTTTTTTAAAATTTTCGACTATTTTTGACTTTTTTCTACAATTTTGTAGTTTTCGACTTTTTCCGACTTTTGGACTTTTTTCGACTTTTTACGACTTTTCGATTTTTTTTCGACTTTTTTCGACTTTTTTCGACTTATCGACTTTCAGACTTTTCGACTTTTTCCGACTTTTATTAACAAAGTCGACTTTTCGACTTTTTTCACAGACGATAGTCGAGTTATCGACTTTTTTGAAACAAAATAGTCGACTTCAACTTTTCGACTTTTTTCGACAAAAAGTCGATTGTTCGATTATTCGAAAGTCGATTTATAGAACCCTAGTAAAGACTATAATTCGGTATAAGTTCGGTGGTATTGCCGGAGAAGTGCCTGTGGGACTTAGTGTTGGGGTTGGTTGTTGAGTTGGTGTTAATAAAAAATTAATGTAGGGCTATGCGGACCTCACCCACACGTATACCTTCAGATTTTGTTCTCTATGGTTTGGGGTTCACTAATGGTGATGGATGAAAGGTATCTCATACAAGTAATACCATTGAGTTTTCTTTCCTTGTCCGGGTATGTTCAGTGTTTGCATTGTTCATACCAAATTTATCACAGGTGTTCTCTGTGAGTAAGAACAAATCCTCGGCTTATTTGATGGATTCGTGTTTCGGTCTACCGCATATGTCTCTAAATGATGTTGCCGGCTCAACAGAGGCCACTCCATTGTGTGTTGATTAGATAGCTCGAGTACTTGTTAAAAGTTTTTATATATGGACCGGCAGAACCATTGTCACCGGCGTGTAAGAACCATAAAGGGTGGTGAGTAGTCTAATCAGCCCAGCTTGTGGTTGAAAAGGCATCACCGTGAAATAAGGCCAGCACTACATGGGTTCATGCAAAGTACTTCGACTTTTTTCGTAACAAATTGATTTTTTTATGAAATAACTAAAACCGACTGTTGATCCATAAATAACGATCCATAATCTGCTTATAATACTATTAATTCATAATAAGTCTCCAATATTAGGACCGATATAATGCCAGTGTGAAATTTCAGTATATGGATGTGGACCGTTATCAATTCCAAGGGAGGTAGTAACTACACAGAGGGAAAAAGAAATATACAAGCCTGGCACCAAATTGACAGCAAACTGTTTATAATTTTTTAATGCCATCCGTTGTCAAAGTATATACATACGTACGACAACACTATGTAATGTTGACAACATTGCAACAATTCGTTGTCGAAATCTAAATTTTATACACATCCGTTGTCTAAATGTGACAAACAATACGTTGCCAAAAGTGAGCTTACCACGTTTGTTAACATTTAGGCAACAGATGTGTATAAAATTTAGATTTCGACAACGAATTGTTGCAATGTTGACAAAGTTGCGTTGTTGGTGGGTGGTCGATATAGTAGTTGTGTACAGTGTAGTGGAAGTCGGGTAAACATTTTAATATTTAGACTGCATTACTAGGAGATGAGCGTAAAATCTCAATTGATATGATGTTATTAATAAAAGCGCTGGTAAATCGTGGTGTTATTGTGGGCTCATTTTAGAAAAACTTAGTTGTTCTGCCTTGGATGATGACTGACAAGAGAATTCTAGGTGAAGAGAGGCAATTCTTAGAAGAGAAGAAGTTATTACCACCATCGAATGGTCGCTGATAAAATCGGAAGAAATCAATTTGAATTGTTTCTAAATTTCCGAAACATCTTTATTCAAATTATTCGTCTATGCACATTATTAAACAACCGGCAATTTTGCACATTCTTTTCGTTGTGTCATAAATTTTAACCGTTGTCTAAGTTTACAACATATTTAAAAATAAAAGCCGTAATCTTGTTGTCGTAACTAATATGAATGACTTGTTCCCACCATCTCGGTTACTTATTAACTTGTCTACTTTTTAAATTTTCCCATGATACATTTGCAGGGACTTGGCGTTATTGATGTGGTTTAGTTATCGTTTAATAGTTTAGCGTAACAAATTTTAACAGAGTGTAACAAATTTTTTAACAAAATATATTCATATATGGGGTTGCTAAATAACCAATCAGTGTTGGATGTAGCTCTACCAAAAAAAAAAACTTTCACATTCTCTGCAAATGAGCCTTGACAAATTTCAATTATGGAGCGTAACAAAAATTGCATTTATTTCACAAAGTTATTGAGGAATAGAGACAACTTTGTTAATAAGAGTCGATGAATCTTGTTTTTAGTGGTGCAAATTGTTTTTTGAGTGGAAACATGGGAAATTTTCTTAAGTAATTGTTTTAATTTTGAATTTAATATTTGTACAATTCACAATCGGCGTTGTATCGTTGTATGTCATATTTATTTTTTGTAACCTTCACCATCGTGAGAAGGGTCTATATAAGTTTGTCATTCCGTTTGCAATTTCCAGAATTTCCTGTATGCTTATAGATAGCGGAGTCGATTAAGCCATTTCCGTTTATCAATATGTCTGTCTGTAGGTCTGTCTGTCTGTCTGCTTGATTGTCTATCTATCTATCTGAGTGTCTGTTGAAATTAATTTTCTAAAGACTCCAGATATCTTCGGAATCCAAGTATTCAATAATTCTGTCAGACATGCTTTCGAGGAGTATCCTATTTAAAATCAGCAAAATCCGTCCATAAATAAAGAAGATATGATCTAAAATCCGAGACAACCTCTGAAAATTTAATTAAAAAAAGACAATTTTTTGCATGCTTTGACAAAGAAGCAACAACAACATTGCTTATTGGAGAAAAACGTATGTTTGGGTATGTGCTGCTTAGTGCATTTTGTTCTTGCTTTTCTTGGTGTTTTGTTTAGCGTAAATTGTTTTTGTTTTGGTGAAAAGAATAAAAGATGTACAAAAAGTTAATTATTTTAAAATGTTTATTTTTTATTTTAAATTTTATCAGTGACTAGATCAGATTTTTCTTTATTATTAATTAATTTTATCTATTCGTTATGTACACATGAATATATTTCCGTAATAATTCTTAAATATTAATGAATATAAATCTAAAACATTGCACGGCTTAGAGCTAAATTAATAAATAATATAATGGAATATCTATATTAATTTAGTATCACAAAATTTTAAGTTAAAATACTAAATAATAAATTAATTAAAAAATAATTAAAACAAATTTAAAACAAAAACATGGAAAATTTCTTAAAATTTTCTATTTTCAAAAATAATTGAAATCATTTCTTAGTCATTTGTTGTAAGCTGCAGGCCGTTGACTACTATGACGAGAGCTATTATTGCCGGCAAAACTATTATTTGAAGAACTATTGGGGGTGCTGTTGGTCTGGTCACTTTCCTTGTCTTGATGGGCCGTCATATGGCGTGTTAAGTGATGACGCTCTCGAAAGCTTTCCTGACAAACGGGACACTTAAGTTTTTCCTCGCGTTTACGCCGATTGGGATCCGTCGCTACTTCACTTTTGTGATGAGAACGCATATGATACACCAGGTCACTAGTCATACGGAAACTAATATTACATTTCGCACATACATTCTGGGCCGTAAGTGTGAATGTTGAGGCCAAAGTAGGCGGTATCAGGGTGGAGAGTATGGCGGCAGCAGCAGGATTTTGCACGATTCTAGGCAATTCCGGATGAGGAATACCCGCAAATGGATGCGGTACATTACCAGCTCCATGAGGAAATGGAAATCCTGGATAAACAGGGAAAAACTCTGGTGGACTGGAAGGTGGTGGTGGACCTGAAGACTGTTGTTCTTGACTAAGATTCGGACGATAGAGCAATTGTTGCTTTAGTCTTTGCGTTTGAAGTGTCTGGACCGAATGAAAAGCTCCATTTGGTGAATATTCTGGGCGAAAATTTTGATAAACCATATTCGGCGACATGCTAGTAGGTGATGAAGGCAAACTGTCAATAGATATGATGTCATTACTACTGGCGCTGGCAGAACGTGGTGGTGTTGTAGCGACGGGAGGACTCATTGAAGAACAGCTCAGCTGATCTGGACTCAAAGGAGGAGCGGGCTGGCCGGGTGATTCCAAACGTGAGGGAACCTTGGTAAAAGCACTTCTTAAAGGTGTTGCTTCCCATTCGGGTGAACTTATTACCAGCGTCGGATCATCATAGATGCGTGGAGTTTTCACCATTATTTGTGGATACCGTCGCAAATCTTGTTTTACTGTTATTTCCGGTTGTTTATTCAATTGCTGATAGAATTGTGGCTGAGGTCTTTGTTTTTCCACTTGATTATTTTTTAAACGTTCATCGGGCATCATTAGAAATGCCACATCAAATGAACGTTTCAAAGTGCTTTTAGTTGTTGGTGATGTGGTGGTGGTCTTTGGTGATAATTGATTATTTGTATTTCCCTGATAACTATCATCATTGGGTGGTGTTGGTGGAGTAGTTGATATTTGTAAATCCTTGGCTTGTGGGCACTCCTGTACAGGTGATGCCCGTTGTATGGTATGTGAATGACCGCTATCCATAATCATATTCATACGCAACTATAGTTTTTACTTTAAGTTTTGGGTTTGTTTATCAAATCACTTTTTCAATATTTTTGTTTTTATTAAAATTTTTAAAAATTTCTTTTACAACACTTTTCACTTGTTTTTTAGTCCTTCTCTTCTTTATATTCAGTTTATAAGTATTTTTTCCAATAAGATATTTTTTCCGTTTTTATAGCCGTTTAAATTTCATTTAGTGTTCCAACACTTTCAAAGTCTAAGCGAAAACTGGTACGCCGCGACAATCTGTTTCTCTTTAAGTAGATTTTTTCCAGAGCGTTTAATTTGATATTCCCTCAAACACACACACTCTTACTCAACATCCTTCTTACCAATTTGAAAAACAAAAGCAGGGTATGAATCTACATACTTACATACATTCATAAGTATAAATCTAGTTGGATTCTGGTTTAAATTGTTGCACACAATCCAATAGTACTCACACATCTGTCCTGATTTTTCCTTTATTGTCCTTGTGTATTGTGAAAGTGTGTGTGTGTGTTTCTGTTGCTAAAAGTGAAAGAACACCCCTTATGTTCGTGATGTTTTTGCCTTCTGCATCTTGTTCTCTGTTAAATGTTTTTATTTGAAAGAGGTGCATCTGCTTTGAATGTTGCAAACATATTTTGTTGCTTTATTGTTTGTTGAAGAGAGAGATGGAGTGAGCATAAAACGTACGCTGGTTGGCTGAATTGTTTTAGTTTATAAAAACAATAAACACAAGATGTTACAGTGGTTTCAAAATATTTTGTGAATTAAATAAAATAAATATTATTTTATTTTAAGTTTGTTTAGCCTTTACTTTATTTTGACTGGAAAAGCATAATGAGAAGATATCGAACTAAAACTAGCTACGCAATGCAGATCGTTGGTTCGATTTCCGCCAAAAACTCTGATAAAGAAGCGCACAACAGGCCAGATATTGGCTTACTCTTATCAGACTCTCTGCTCTGCTTCACTTCTAGGGGCATATGGAAAGTGTAGTAGTTCAGACGTCATCAGGTCTTGTATAAAACATAGTTTTGCAGTCTTTTGTCGAAATACAAGTATATTGAGCATAATCATGAGCTCAAAAACACTATTCGGTGGGTTCAGTTGTATGATGTTTAATGAACCGGTTTCAACCATTTTTAATAGCTGGCACAAGCTTTACGTGGACAGCCAGACGGACATGGCTTAATCTACTCAGGAAATGATTTAAATAAAATGTTTGGTGGAGAAAAGGACCAAAACGGAAATTTAGTTTTATTTAAACTTATTAAGTCAACATTTTAAAATTTTTACTACTACTATCGTTACTAAGTCCTACACATAGGGAAAAGGAAATATACACACCTGGTACCAAATTGACACCAAAGAGTTTATAATATTTCAATAACATTTGTTGTCAAAGTATATACATACGTACGACAACACAATGTGATAACGCAACGTTGTCAACATTGCAACAACTCGTTGTCGAAGTCTAAATTTTTTACACATCCGTTGTCTAAATGTTAACAAACGTGGTAAGCTCACTATTGGCAACGGATTGTTTGTCAATAGTGAGCTTACCACGTTTGTTAAGATTTAGACAACGGATGTGTATAAAATTTAGATTTCGGCAACGAATTGTTGCAATGTTGTCAACATTACATAGTGTTGTCGTACGTATGTATGTATATACTTTGACAACGGATGGTATTGAAAAATTATAAACAGTTTGGCGTGTATATGTCTTTTTCCCTCTGTGTATATAGGACCAAATGGAGTTTTTAGAACATAAATAATAATGATATGTTCTAGTCTGGTAGACCGGAAGTGTTGGAATCAATTCCCACCTGAGGCACTGGTAAAGGAGCACACAACATAAAAATACATAAAATTAAATATAAGCGCTCCTATTTGAAGGGAAATCCTTTGAGAATTTTTTCATTCTAAATGGTATTTTTTGAATTGTCCTTATTTTTATTTCCTTCAACTTTCCATATCAAAATTTACCGATTCATTTGCAGATGACACCAATATTTGTAATTCTTACTTATTTCATTAATGATTCAGGAAAAACTTGACTTACTCGGTAACTAGGCAAGTAATATGGGAGCCAAGTGAAAGTACTTACTTGTGATCGACGAAGTTCAAAAAATAACTGGTTACAAATGGGCTTACTAGACTTTCCCGGTATTACAGGGATTACTACTGATGTCAACTAGGATTCGAATTTACATAATGTCAGACAGCCAAGCTCCAGTGTTGTAATGGAATGTGTGACATCATTGAATGAACGAACATACAAATTAGCACTATGTTGGACACCCGGCCATAAAGGTCATTCTGGCAACGAACGGTCGGATTGCTTAGCAAATCCGCTCTTATCGGCCCTGAACAATTCTATGGTATCCCACAAGGATACGTCAGACAAAGATGCGAATCGTGGGTCGAATCAGAATTTGCGTGCCACTGGGAAGCTATAACAGGGCTTAGACAGACAAAGCGATATCAATTATGCTATCAAGGGCAAAATCCCAAAAGTTGCTATCGCTTAACAAAAGTGATCTCAGAATACTAACGAGACTACTCACGGGTCTCAAATATCATAAATTCATCCTAGGAAACGCCATATCGAAGCTATGTAGATATTGTGGCTGCCGGGAGAAATCCACTGAACACATATTGAGTAATTGTCCATCACTAAGAACTCGTAGAAGAATCTTAGGTGTTGCATCACTAGCCTCGAAGGATATATTCAACCTCTCACCATTTGATTGGTTATTTTCATACATGAATTAAACCTGTTATGGTGAACCCAATGGCTGCACAAAAGATCCAAAACAGGGTCGCAGTGCTTAGGGCCCTCTCTCATCTAATCTAAACTAGGATTCGAACCACAAACTTTTTTATTGGACAGATGCTCTATATAGGTAAGGTTAGTTTATGTGGGTTGCTCGCTAGCAAGCGAGTTCACTCGAAAGTCTTGTGGCCCTTTTTGTGATACCCTTAGAATTACCATTCCCTAATATTGAGAGAATGGTTTCCCTCGCTAATTTCGTTGACTACTTGGTTCGTTCGGTTTCCGTGAAAACCAGCCGGTGCTTTAACAAAAACGGATCATGTTTATTAGTGACACATCTCTGAGACAGTCTAGATCATGCAAAAGAGCTCTACCAAGATAGAGTAGTCTGTGGTCTTGTAAGGCCGGGCAGTCACATAGAAGCTGTTGTACCGATTTCACTTCTTCTTCGTCCTAGCAGCTTCCACAGTAGTTCCGACATATGTCCAATCATACAGTGCCCAGTAATTATACCAGTTAGAAGCCTAGTTCTTACTAAGAGACAAAAGATCCTAGTCCTATCTATTGTCAGAGTGGGCCAGAGCAGTCTCCATATTCTACAAGTGGTGATATCTGACCACCTGAGTTCCATCTCACTCAAAGCCCATTCATCTATCAATTTCGATAGGGTCGTTAGGGGAGTGTGAATATCCTTTTGCGCAAGGGTTAAGTCATGAGACGACCCTTTGGTTGCTCATTAATCAGATATTTCATTTCGACTTAATAACATTGGAGTTAAGAGCCTTGATTGATGCAAGGCTGTCCAGGTATGTATAGTCGAATTTTCGAGATTTAGTTCGGGAATTCTTCTGGCATATATCTCTACCTGAAGGACCATGCAGGTGTCAGGTAGTCAAAGAGACAGTAGAAGATTTATTTTTTCGGAGAAGATTCCCGATCCCGTGCCAATTTCTATCTTTGAGCCATCAGTATGGATTGAGATCACGTCGTCCCTTAGGACAGCGTTCGCGCCCCAATTATCCCTTGTCGGTATTCTGGTCTTGAATGATCTATTAAAATTCAGTATAGATAGAATGTAGTCTGTTTCCTGCCCCATGATTGGCCTGCCTATCTTTTGTATTTCGATATTATAATTTGGGAACCAGTTATTCTTCATACCGAAATCCAGTTTTTAATTAAATTTTTTTTTCATTTTATATCAGAAAGGAAGATTTAATTTAAAAAAATTATAAAAAAATATTTTTTTTTTTTCAAATTATAGTCCAATTAATACCACTGTTTAATAAAAGAACAACATGTGCACAAATAGACAGTGAAAATATGGTTTGAAACTACCCTAAATAAAATTCAACATGCGCGTACAACATTGAATATTTTTATATGAAATATAAAAAGGCGGAGCACCATGCTACAAAATGCTATTCTAAATATATTTCCATTCTTCTTTCTGCTTGCTGCTCTCATCAATTGTTTCACTAACAGGTTGATTGTGTCAAGACTACAAAATAATGGAATGGGCTTAAACACTATTCATATCGTACACATATTTTGTTGCTACAATATATATTTTTTTTTGCAACTTATAAAACATACTACATATTATAACAATTGTTTATAGTATTGTTGTTGTTGGTGTTTCCGTTGCTGATACCAAAACTAAACACTATGTTTGAATTGAACGAACATTTAAATCCTTTATCCGATTGAAAACAAAATCATGTAGAGTAGATTACAAAATTATATACAAAATCTACATATAAACTAGAGATAAAGGATTAAACGTTATGATATATAGCCTTGTTTATAGCAAGGAGTCTTGGTTATAGTTTCAGATTATATAGTAATTAAGTAAAATTTTACTTAAATTCCAATTGGAATTTTTTCTAAAAACAAAGTTCTTATATGAAATGTTGTGGTAGTGTGCAATATTAAACTTTTATCCTTGTTTTAACCACAAACTTCTCCGAATTTCAAAAGAGTTTGAGAACTTTTTTTGCCAACTAAAAAACAGAATGTTTTTTATTATTACTCAGTCTTTTTGCGATACACATTCGTATTTTCACACATTATAGAAAGAATGGCTTCCCCAATATGTGGAAGTTTAGATGTTGTATCTCTTGGTTGTGGCCATGTATTTTTTTCTATGTTTGTATTTAGAATGTGTGCTCATTTTATGGTCATATTCAAGTTAAACAAAATATGTGCGAATTTTATTATCAAAACGTTATGTTTATGTGTCCAACGCGTGTCCGACTGTAT